GGTTCTGTGCGAAAATCCCTTCAAAAAAGGACACTGCTACCTCGCTCCTCCCAGAATCTCATTCATTAACCCTATGCTTGGCTACACAAGGTTGCAATGCTGCTTGGGTCCAGACAGTCATTCACACCCATGCCGTGGCCTGGTTTCCTCATTACATGGTTACCTGCGCCAGACTGCGCTGGGGCTGGCTTTCCCACACATTGCTGCACTTCAGATATTAGAGAGAGGAAACTTGCTGTGGAGTTGAGAAGTGTTGCTGTTCCTTCCTACTGTTTGAGTTACCCCTCTAGAGACAGGTAGCTTAATTAATAGTAAACAATACATATTTGATAAATATGTACTGTGTACATATTTACCATATTTACATACCAGTACTGTGTCCAGTTCTGGTGCCCCCAACAAAAGAAGGACATGGACACATTAGAATGGGTTCAGAGGAGGGCCATGAGGATGGTCAGAGGGCTGGAGTACCTCTTCTGTGAAAACAGGGTGACAGAGTCGGGGCTGTTCAGCCTGGAGAAGAGAAGGCTCCAGGGAGACCTTATAGCAGCTTTCCAGTTCCTGAAGGGGTCCTACAGGAAAACTAAGGAGGGACTTTTTACAAGGGAAGGTAGTGATAGAAAGAGGGGGAATGGTTTTACACTAAAAGAGGGTAGATTTATATTGGACATTAGGAAGAAATTCTTCACTATGAGGGTGGTGAGAACCTGGCACAGGTTCCCAGGGAAGTTATGGGTGCCCCCTCCCTTGAAGAGTTCAAGATCAGGCTGGATGAGACTTTGAGCAACCTGGTGCAGTGGGACATGTCCCTGTCCTTAGCAGAGGAGTTGGAACCAGATGATCTTTAAGGTCCCTTCCAACTCCAACCATTCTATCATTCTATGATATGTATTTACACCCAGGCTAGAAAATTAATAAAGTTACTAGAACATTAATTGCATCCTAGACTTTGCTGGATACATCAACTGTGATCGTTATCAATTAAGTATAATCGTTACCTTGATCTGT